CTCCTGGGTGGTGCCAGAGGACTGGAGGGTTGCAAATGTTAGTTTCCCCTGTAGAAAAAAGGGCAGAAGGATAAACCCGGAAACTACAGGCCAGTCAGCCTAAAATCAGTAGTGGGAAAACTTCTAGAGACTATAATCCAGGACAAAATAAATTTTCGCCTGGAAAAATATGGGTTAATAAAGGGCAGCCAACATGGGTTTGTTAAAGGCAAATCATGTCTAACAAGTCTGATAGAGTTTTTTGAGGAAGTATCAGAGAGGGTGGATGAAGTTGGTGCAGTTGATGTAGTTTATATGGACTTTCAAAAGGCGTTTGATAAAGTGCCACATAAGAGACTTGTAAGCAAAGTAGAAGCCCAGGGTATTAAAGGCAGTGGTAACATTGATACAGAACTGGCTGGGAGACAGAAAACAGAGAGTGGTGGTGAACAGTTGTTTTTCTGACTGGAGGGAAGTGTGCAGTGGTGTCCCCCAGGGGTCAGTATTGGGACCACTGCTGTTTTGATCTATATAAATGACCTGGACTTAGGTACAGGGAGTACAATTTCCAAGTTTGCAGATGATGCTAAGCTGGGAAAATAGTAAACAGTGAAGAGGATAGTAGCAGACTGCAAATGGACATAGACAGACTGGTAAAGTGGGCGGACAAGTGATAGATGAGAAGTGCCAAGTGATGCATTTTGGGAGGAAGAATGAGGAGAGGCAATATAATCTGATGGTACAATCTGGGGGTTCATATAAGTAAATCTTTGAAGGTGGCAGGACAGGTAGATAAAGCTGTTAAAAAATAACATACGGTATACTAACTTTATAAATAATGGCATAGAATACAAAAATCAGGAAGTTATGATGAACCTTTAAAACACTGGTTAGGCCTCAGCGAGAGTCTGTGTTCAGTTCTGGGCACCGCACTTTAGGAATGATGTCAAGGCATTGGAGACGGTGCAAAGGAGATTTACCAGGATGGTACCAGGAATTAGGGACTTCAGTTATGAGGAGAGACTAGAGAAGCAAGGATTATTAATAATAATAATAATAATAATCCTTGCATTTGATATAGCGCTTTTCACGTCAGGAGGACGTCCCAAAGCGCTTTACAGAACACACTGTAAAGTGAATTGACTGTATATTTGTGGGCAAACGCGGCAGCCAATTGCGCACAGCAATGTCCCACAAACAGTCGTAGATTGAAAATGACCAATTTATTATTGTTTTTGGTTTTTGGAGGGATTATTATTAGGCTCTGTGTGGAGTAAGGAAACTTGCCCAAGGTTTCGCCCTCTGCCTGGAATTGAACTCAGGTCTCTCACTTGCAAAGCGAGTGCTCTAACCACTGAGCCACAGGACTCCATGGAGCAGACAAGTTAAGAGGAGACTTAATAGAAGTTTTCAAAATTATGAGTGGATTCGATAGGGTGAACAAGGAGAAACTATTTCCACTGGCGGGTGGGTGGTAACCTGAGGGGATCGATTTAAAATAGTTGTTAAAAGAAACAGAAGGGAGGTGAGGAGAAATGTTTTCACACAGTGAGTTGTTCGGATCTGGAATGCAAAGGGTGGCGGAAGCTGATTCGATAACAACTTTTAAGAGAGAAGTAGATAATTATTTGAGGAGGACACTTTTGCAAGGCACTTTTGCACTATGGAGAGAGCGCGGGTGAATGGGACTGATTTGGATAACTCTTTTCAAAGAGCCGACACAGACACAATGGGCTGAATGGCCTCCTTCTGTGCTGTATAATTCTATGATTCTGTAATGTATAGTGATCATATTTAAATTAGCTAAGGGGGAGCATGGATAGAGTAGCAGAAGCTCAGGAGGGTGAGGATGGAATTGAGCAACTTGGTCACCAGATTACTAGATTGGTTCAGATGAAGAAGTCCCTTTAGCTCATCCAATCTCATCTGTCCAAAATATCCACCCTATCGTTTTCCCATCGCAATATCAAACTGTTTCTTTTTAAAATAAATTGCCTTTTGCAACTCTGAACCCATATCCTCTTGTTCTACTGCCTTGATGCATCCTTATTAATTGTCCTCAGTTTACTTTTTCAATCAAAGCGTTTTCTCAACTCAAAAGAATCTTGTCTAATCGTTGCTCATAGGTCATTTCTCTAACACTGGGAATCTTCCTCATTGCTCTCCTCTGAGATGCCTCTAGGATCTTAGCAGCCCCAATATGTTGCGGTGACCAGAAATATATGCAATATCTAGGTATAGCCTGCCCAGAGCAATGTATAGCTTGAATGTGATGTCTGGGGATCGTAATTCAACTGATTTCACTATATAGCCCAGCATCCTGTTTGCCTTTGTAAGCACATCTGATAAATGCCCCAGATTCTTATCGAAGAGGGTTTTCTCCAGATCAGTGATCTTTCCTGATAGACGCTAAACCAGATGGAGGATTTTGTGGTTGAGTTGTAATAGTAAATGCCTTAGCTCTTTTAATAGGATTATTGGACAGTTGGATATGTGGCTGGATCTGTTGTAATAACAGATTGTGTAGCAGTTGGGAGAAATTCTGAAATGTTCAACCTGAAGTGTTCTGAAGTGACCATAGGCAGGCATTTTACTTCACCGACTGCTCTGATACTGGTTGCACAGGATTTGACAATAATATTAATAATCATCCTTTGATTTGATGTAGTGTTGGGAGCATATCTCAAAGCACTTCACAAGATGAAAAGTGTAATGATTTTATATTTTATATGTGAATTTGGCAGCCAATTTGTGCACAGAAATGTCTCACAAACAGTCATAAACGGAATGATCAATTTTATCTGGGGAATGTTGGGCAGGACACCAGGAGAAACTCCATTCACTGTTCAAATAAACCATGGGATCTTTAACGTCCATCTGAACAGGCAGATATAACCTTGATTTAACATCTGATCTGAAGGATCTAACAGAGTTAAATTCTTGTACAATAGTGTGTTTACACAAGATCCTAAAATGTCTCACTTGAAATTACTTGGATGACATTTTCTTCCCTGTTCAGTTTTTAGTGACACACCCTACCCTGGAGTCTGGACTCTGTTGATGCAAAATGCTCAGATTTATCTGCTGAATGAATCATCAGTTTGTCTATTTTTTACTTTTACCAGCGTTATACTACAGTATAACTATTTAACTTTGGCTTTGCAACCTTTGCCTTAAATTGAAACAAAACTGACATTACCTGTATTAAGGGGTTCAAATTTCTCATTCACCTTCACAGTGGAGATTTGGAACAAGCCCAGTTGACCTCTATCCAATGGGCTAATTCAATATCTATCATAACTATGGAAATATTAATGCATGAGCAAAGCTATCAGCAATCATTGCTGGTTAAAAGTATATTAACAGTTAAAAATAGGGATACATTTTCATTTTAACAAGGAAACAAGCACCAGACAAGTCCTCCATTTTGTTGTTTGGGTTTTTCTTTTCAAACAGTTGTGTAATTTTCCTAAGGTTGAGTGTTGTTACCTCTGGAGAGACAGCAGGTGCTCAGAAGGTACTGCACCATAGTGGTATAATATAAATTCACTAATCTGCACGTGACAGGGTTAGTAGGCTTAAAATTTAAGATGGTGTAGAATTTGGGGGTAAGGAAAACAAATATTAATTTGAAAGCTGACTGTTCATTTTTGGTATTGCTGTTATCTCATCTAATAATAGGTTGAACATAGTATGTTCATCTAGTGAAACCAAAGAGAGATGCATGTCTCCAACACATTGTGTTTAGGTGTAAACAAGAGCTGAATCAACATGGGGTTTAGTCTTATTTTCTACAATATGCATTACAATTTTTTACAAAAAGGTTTGAATGAAACCCACCTCTCTGGGGTGGGAATTTAAAAACTGATGCCTGGCAAACATCAACAACTTACATTTAGAATCTGTCATGTAGGAAGGAAATCTCAAAGCATTTTTCATAGCTGACTGGGAACCCAAGTTTGGGGAGGGAAGGTATGGCATTGTTGACATTCAACTGAAGAGAGTTAAGAGTGAACATTAAATGCGTATCCAGCTCTTGATATCTGACAAGTAATTTGTCAGAGCAGCAGTAGTCCTGGGGTCGAGGGTAGGAGCAGAGATAAGAGTTGGTCGTTATCTGCTTACATGTGGAAGTGAACTCTATTTCTGTTGATGATATCTAGCTAGGATAAGCCACCTTCAATAAAAATCCTCCTTTTATTTGATTTTATTTATTTTATTCTTCGAAATGCAACATCACTATATCAAAACAATGGTCATGCAGGAAGGAAATCTCAAAGTCAAACACAGTGAGAGAAAGCAAGGTTGCAAATGAAAGGGACAGTAACTGAAAATCATTGTGAACACTGGACGTTATTCTGAATTATTTCAATCCACGTTTCAAAGGCTTTTTTATTACTAGGTGATCCATTAACTTGAATATTCTGTATGGTTAAAGGTTTTACTCTGATGTTTCTGTGGGTACTGGATTTCAACTACCATCAATATAATTGATATACTTCCCTAGATTACACAGCAATAAGTGATATCAAACCTCTGGAATTTATTTTGCAGTTATACTGTAGTCCCCTCTGTGGGTCCGAGCCTCATCCTATGTCTCTGTTGATCCTGCAGTACTCAGTGAGGAATTATTGCAGCTCTGGAGGTGCCATCTTTTGTATCAGATGTTAAATCTTTTTTGCCTATCCACCTGGGGTTGAAACACTCAGAACATTACTTTGGAAAAAGAAAGGAAGTCCTCCCAATGTGCTGGTCCAATATTCCTCCATTGTCCAAACTTGCCATAAATGTTTATTTGACTATTCATCTTGTTGCTGTATATGGGATGTGCCTAGTGCAGATTAGCTCCTAATGTTTGCCTACCTATGAATGATTACTGTACTTCAAAGAACCTCATTGTGTAAAAACTGCTGAGGTTATCTGAAATAAAATGCAAATGTTATAATAAAATCCTTGATTCAGCATTACAAAAATAAAGTAACTGTGGCACATAATAACTTGCTCTGTTTTTTTTTACACAGCACTGGTTAGACTATACAAAGCCTATCAAGAAACAAATGAAAAGTAAGTGTATAATGGTCATCTTTTAGCATTCATCCAAAAAAGATGCTTTTTAATTTGTGCATTTATGATCGTTTTGATCTCTTTGAAAAAAACTTTATAACCCTGTAAATATTGCAGCACATGAATCATTTAGATGAGTAGTATTTTAGTGTTATAGTTGAAAACTTGCTTCTTAGATGTTTTATATTGGTGAAAATAATGTACATTATAAATCTGTTTTGACTAGTTGGACCTCCTTACTGCTTGCACTTCAGAATAAAATTCTATTCCTCTGAACCAAACAATCTTCGTGAAGAGTTTACAAGGTAGGAACTCCTGAAGTACAAATTTAAGTTTACTGCATATTGCTGTACGTTTTTAGTTAAAAGCTTAGTGCATAAATCACTGAAGTGGTATTGAATTTACACAGGATATTTGTTTGACCACACCTTACAGTTCTGGTAAAGAATTTTGGAAGTGGCCTTTTCTCACAGGAGTGTCAGAAGAGTTTCAGTGGGACTTTTTAGATACGAAGGAAAGCTGTTTTATGTGGTACCAAAGTAACTTGTCTGCTTCAATTGATTTCTGTATTATTTTGCAGGTATCTCTTTGTGCTGCAACTTAGACAAGATGTTCTTTCTGGCAAGTAAGTTGGTATACAATGTCTTGCATACAGCACTGCTTTTTGCTGTACTGTATACAGAATTTTTCAACAACGTGAAGGACTTCATAGCCAGAATAATCTGTTTAAACTCCTTTTTCTCACAGTCTGGATCTAGTTTGCTCGTCATTTTTATGGTATTTATTGCAAAATATGCTTGTGGAAAAGTGTGAATTGCATTTAGTTCCACTCAATAATGGTGAATATCTTGATGTGACTGCTGGCTGCTACTGTAGAAATGTACCAGTGTTTTTGAAATCCTTAGTTCAGTTTGTGCCTCATTTATTCAAGAAAAACAATTTTGCAGTAAGTGTGAATCAATTCTAACCCATTTTTTTTTTTTTTTTGCAGACTGAAATGTCCATATGACATTGGTGTGGAACTGGCTGCTTCTTGCCTACAAAGTAAGTGTATTCTCCTTTGAAGACGAAGGCTGAATGTATTTTAACATGCTCCTGTTTTTCAGTAAATCTCCTCAAGTTGTTAATCCTTTGAAGCTCATTTTCTGGTTATTGTTGTGGTCCTAATCCTCTTTTTGTCCCATTCATTTATCGGAAACTATTTACCTGTGGCACTTAAATTGGTTTGGAGCAGTGCAATGCGGGTGGCCTTGTTCAAGGTATAATAACATAGGAAACAACAACAAATTTACATTTCTAGAGCGCCTTTCACGTCGGGAGGACGTCCCAAAGCACTGAACGGTCAGGTGTCGGAGCCTGAGCATGGGAGAGGGGTGGTGTAGGGGTGAGGGAAGGCAGAGAGGTGGGAGAGAGACCAAAGGTACGGTCGAAGAGAAGGATCTTGAGACCGGCCTTGAAGGAGGCAAGGGAGAAAACGGGGCAAAGGGACCATGGGATGGAGTTCCAGATTGTGGGGGCAGAGAGGCTGAAAGCCCGGCCACCATGGTAGGGCGGGTCGGGCGGGAGACATGGAGCAGGCCGGAGTCCGATGAATGGAGGAAGCGGGTAAGTTGGTAGGGTGTCAACAGGTCAGAGAGGTAAGAGGGGGCAAGGCCATGGATGGCCTTGAAAGTGAGACAAGGATCTTGAATTTGATCCGATGAGGGATGGAGAGCCAGTGGAGTCGGGCGAGGGTGGGAGTGATGAGGTCACGGAGCCTGGTGCGTGAGAGTTTTGGGTGATCTGCAGCTTGTGAAGGGAAGAGTTGGGAAGGCCGATGAGAAGGGAGTTCCCGTAATCAAGCCTTGAGGTGACGAATGCGTGGGTGAGGGTTTCGGTAGCCTGAGGGGTGAGGCAGTGGCGGAGTCTGGCAATATTGCGGAGGTGGTGGTGGTCGGCAGTGCCAGTCTTGGCGCGGATGTGGGAGAGAAAGGACAGTTCAGGGTCAAACAAGATTCCCAGATACCTGACTTGCTTAGTGAGGTTGAATGTGCAGCCGTGGAGGCTGATGCTGCCAGCGCACGAGGTGTGGAGGCGCTGGCGTGAGCCAATCAAGAGGACCTCGGTCTTGCTGACGTTGAGTTGGAGAAAGTTGGCTCTCGTCCAGGACTTGATGTCGGGCAGGCAGTCGGTCAGGACGCCAGTAGTCCTGGAGTTGAGGGGGAGGCAGAGAGATAGAGTTGGGTGTCATCCGCATACATGTGGAAATGTACCCCATGTCTGCAGATGACGTCACCAAGGGGGAGCATGTAGAGAGTGAAGAGGAGGGGACCGAGGACAGAGCCCTGAGGAACACCGTACAAGACAGTATGGGGGATGGAGGAGAAGCCGTTAGCTGAAACGAAGTGGAGGCGGTGTGAAAGGTAGGACCTGAACCAGTCAAGGACAAGGTGGGAGGAGAGGCGGTGGTGGAGAATTGAGAGGTCCACGGTGTCAAAGGCAGTGGAGAGGTTCAGGAGAACGAGGAGGCAGAGGGAGCCCTGGTCACACATGGTTAGGATGTTGTTTGTGATCTTGACCCGGGCAGTTTCCATGCTGTGGGGTGATCGTGTCTGTTTTGAGGGGGGAAGGAACAGTGCCAGATGACAGGGAGAGGTTAATGATGTCGGCGAGTAGTGGGGCAAGGCGGTGGTGCTGGGATTTAAGGAGAGGTGTGGGGAAGGGGTCGAGGGAGCAGATGGTGGACTTCATTGAGGTTATCGTGTTGAAGACAGAGGAGGGGGTGACAGGTTCAAATGTGTGGAAGGAGGGATGGATAATTGTCGGATAGGTAATTGTGTGGGGTTGGGGTAGGGAGGGGTTGGAAGTTGGGAGGGCAGTGGCAGCTGAGTGGATTCCCTCGATTTTGTACTCAAGGAAGTCCAGCATTTTCTCACAGTGAGAGTCAGAGGAAAGTATCTGCAAGGTGTGTCTGCGAGGGCGGAGGAGCCTGTGGGTGCGTCTAGCAGAGTGGATGTGGAGAGAGAGGTTGAGAGAGGAGAAATCTGAGGAGATGGAGCAGGAGGAGGTGAAGTGGAGGTTGAAGTCGCCTAGAATGATGAGGCGGTCGGACCAGAGGCAGAGGGAAGCAAAGAGGGTGGAGATGTCAGAGATGAAGGTGGGGGAGGATTTTGGGGGGCAGTGAAGTAAGAGAATTTTCAGAGAGAGGTGGGAGGGATGGCAGAGGGTAAGGTGTTCGAACGAGGGGAACGAGCCGGTGGAGTAGGTGGATAGGGGGATATGGATATGAGGGGCACATCACCGCCACGACGGTTGTGGCGTGGGGCATGGTGGTAGGTGTAGCCGGGTGGTGTGGCCTCAGTGAGGGGAAAGGTGTCACCTGGGGTGATCCAGGTTTCTGTGAGTGCCATGATGTCAGTGTTCTCATTGAGGATGAGTTCATTGATAGCCAGGGTCTTGTTGGAGATGGAGCGGACATTTTGAAGTCCAATGCGGAGTGGACAGTTGGCAGTGGGATGGGAGGGAGTAGTGGAATGGTTGAGAGGGAGGTTGGGGATGCGGATGAGGAAGGAGAGGTTAGCCCCTAGGGTCAGGGTCCAGGGTGGCTTGCGGCGGTAGTGGGGAATGGCGCAGTCGGCGTGGCTGCTGCTGGACAGCCAGTGCCGAGTGCACGATGAGCCCGGCGGAGGATTCCCAGGCTGGAGCAGAGGGAGGCAGTGGGGGGGAGGTCAAGCTGAGATAGGAGGCAGGGAGGGCGGAGAGAGAGCAGGACAGAGCGGGAGAGTTGCAGGGAAGGGGGCATTTTGAGGGAGGGCCAGCTCGGGTCGGGGGTGGCAGCCAAGATGCGCACGCTGGGTCAAGAGGTGGTGGTTTAGCAGGACATTGTCAGGCTGCAGGAGGCTGGGGGGGGGGCTGGAGTTGGCGCTCATTGTGGTTAGCAACGAGCAGCCTGCAGGGGAAGGATAGAGCAGACAGACAGACAGACAGAGGGTGGGAGGGAGGGAGACACCAGTACAGGCTATACTATACTGTGCTGTAGCTGCTACCAGTGATTCAAACCTGGCCGGCGGACGTGACGTCATGCAGAAACTTCAAAATTCTTGGTTGAAGTAGTCTCATCTGTTGAGATTTGCATTTTGTAATCTCTGACTGGTGCCCTGGGTCTCTAATCCACTCTGATCCAGTTATATAAGGCCAGCTTTCCCACCAGAGGAGGATGATTTATATCAAAAAACAATCAGTCTTGTTTAACATGATACAGGGCTGCATCAGTTCAAAAACAGCAATAACAACTTGCATTTAATATAGCGCCCGCCACACCGGGTAGCGTCCCAGGGAGCTTAACAATGGTGGAGCCCCATGCCGAGCCAGGAGCAGGGGGAAGGTGACCATAGGCACGGTCGAAGAGGAAGGTCTTCAGGCACGACTTGAAAATGGGGAAAGAGGGGGCAAGGCGAAGGGATTGAGGGAGGGAGATCCATAGCTTGGGGGCGTAGTGCCTGAAGGCACAGCCACTGATGGAGCGGAGGATTCGATGGGCAAGGAGGAGGCCGGAGCCTGTAGAGCGGAGATAGCAGGTACTGCTGTGAGGAGAGAGGAGGTTGGAGAGATAGGGGAGTGCCAAGGCGTGGTTGGATTTAAGTACTACAGTGAGGATCTCAAAGTCGTTCCGCTGTGTGACAGAGAGCCAGTGAAGTTTGGTCTGGGGTAATCGGGATGCGGAGTTTAGTGCAGGTGAGAATGTGGGCGGCGGAGGTTTGGATGAGTTGAATTTTGTGAACAGTGGAGGAGGGGAGACTGGCGAGGAGTGCATTTGAGTGGTCCAGCTGAGAGGTGACGAAGACGTGGACAAAGGTTTCAGCAGCTTGTGGAGTGAGGTATTGTCGGAGATGGGCAATGTGGCGGACGTGGAGGGAAGTGGTCCTGGTCAGGGACTGGATGTGGAGGAGGAAGGATAACTGGGCATCAAACCTGAGGCCTAAGTTGCGCACAGGTTGAGAGAGTTTTAAGGACAGATCGGGTAGGTTGAGCAGGTCTGAACCGTAGGACAGAAGACATCGATGGGAGCCAAAGAGTATGGCTCCCATCTTGTTGACATTTAACTGCAAGAAATTTGCGCTCATCCAGGTCTTGATGTCTGTCAGACAAGTTGACAGAACACCAGAGGACTGCGGGTCGTAGCTGGAGGAAAAGTAGATTTGGGTGTCATCCACATATATGTGGAAGTTAACCTCATGTCTGCAGATTACATCACCGAGAGAGAGCATGTAGATGAAGATGAGACGGGGGCCAAGGCTAAAGGCCCTGGGGTACCCCATTAGTGACCAGGCAAGGGCGAGAAGAAAAACTATTTGCGGAAATGTAATCCAGGTGGTTTGTAAGGTAGGACTCGAATCAAGCCAGTGGGGAGCCACTGAGGTGGATGATGAAGGCGAAGTGATGGAGAAGGATGGCGTGATCGACACAGGATGTTTATCAACTTCAATCGGGTATTCATGATGAATGAAATTTTCATGCTGTGGAAATTTCCGACTATAAAGCATTTCACACAAATCTTTTTCTCTCCCATCAATAACCAGGGACTATTTTACAAGCAATCTGTGTCTGCTGCACCTTTTATAGGAACCAAAATGGAACAAATATTTTCTCACTGATCTATTTCTGGCAAATATTCCTCCATTATCCAAATTTAAATTTGTTTCTCAAAATCACTTTGACACAATTTGAAATAATTCTCTATATCTAGTGCATAGTATTTTATCTAAGCTGCAAACAGCAGGGTTACATTCCTTGATGATTCTGACTGTAAACACCATGTCCAGTTAACCCAGCTGAACCAGTTTTTAAAGTAAAGGAATTACTGTATTAATAACTCTAAATGGAATGTGGAAAGTTCCACAATCTGTGTCTCATAAAACTATACTGTTGACCGACCGGTAGGATTACAAGGCAGTAATCGACTTCACGTGATCCCCTTGCCTTGCCTCCTGCTTCCCCGTTTTCAGATCACACCCGAAGACTTTCTTCTTTGTCCATGCCTACAGTCACCAACCTCTTTCCCTTAGGTCGGTGTCAAGCTCCACCACTGTTAAGCACGCAGACACTACCCTGCATGAAGGGTGCTATATAAATGCTTGCTGTTGTATATTTCCTTTCAATATTCTTCTTCTCAAAATGTAACACTTCATACTTTTCTTGCATTAAGTTTTGTCTGCCATCTATCTGCCTTATCTATTAGCGTGCCTTGTATGCCCGTGAAGGTTCTTGGTCCTCTATGCAGTAACTTACATGCTTTTTGTGTTGGCAAATTTTAATATTGTCCACACCCAATTCCATATAAAAAAAGAACGAAGAGAGAAGAGGAGTGGTGCTCCCGCTGATCTCTGGGAGAACCATTGCTTCCTTTCTTCCTATCAAAACAATCCATTTACACCTCATTTTTGCTGTCCTTTTAGTTAAGCTTTTTTTTACACCTTTTTTCTATAGCCAACTTTCTATCCCTGCTGCCACATTCCCTTTAACATACAACTTAAATTTTGCAGCAAATCTTTAATGTATCTATTGTATTTTTTTCCAAGCAAGTATAACTTTCATGGATCCAATCAGGAACGCCAGAGTTCCTTTACCCTAAATTTATGATCTTGCCATTTAAGGTATATTGCAGTTCCTTATTCCTGTCTTTACAATGTGCTAATTCACAGGTTTCTTCATTTCTATAGAAGTTCTTTGCAAATTCTAATAAGCAAAGACCTGATATGGAAAACGTACATCTAGTCTCATGCTGCCCTTGAGACACTTCATCTAATTTAATTTCATCCTACTTTTAGAACAATGTGGGCTAAAGGTTAAATTAATAGGTTTGCAAGGCTGGCAGCGTGTTCAACTAATATGGACAAAATGTATCAACATAAAATCGGATGGTTGGAATATGGGTGAATAGTCACAGAGTTTTAAACTTATTACTCTAGAAAAGTTTTACAGATAAAATTCACAAATTTGCAAGATTATGGGGAGAGCGCGGGGGAATGGGTTTAATTTGGATAGCTCTTTCAAAGAGCAGGCATGAGCATGATGGGCCGAATGGCTTCCTTCTGTGCTGTGTAATTCTATGATTCTATATTTTTGGTAAACAATTTTAAGATAGGTACTAATGGCTGGAAATATTTCGCATTCCAGTCAAATTACCTGTGTCAAACACTTCTAGGAATATGTAAATACATATGTGGTATCAAACCACATTTGTTTGAAGCTATAAATTAGCTTAGATTTTTTGGGATGGATTCCTGTAATTTGGGGGCTCACAAATATTTAGTCTGGTCAAAAGCTTACTACTTGGAAACCAAGATTATTTGAACTCTTTCTTTGCTTTTAGAAGTCAGAGAATATTTGACAGGTGCGCTCACTTTTTTAGCAATCTTTGGAAATATTTCTTTAAACCAAGGGCGACCAACTACTGGGGTGGGTTACTAAGAAGAGTGACACAGCTCAGCCACCAGACTCCTCTTTTAAACAAAAATAGTGTTTTGCTTTATGGATAGATGGTAGGATAGGTTTTCTGAAAGTATAAGATCAAATAAACCAAAGGTCTTCTTCCAATTTTCTTTGGATCTTGTTATCATTCATTTTTGCTGCCCCTTCCCTCAGCAGCATGCATCATTACCCACTGTAACCACACATTCATGTAAACAGCAATGCATTCCACAGCCACCCATTCCCTCTATTAGGAAAATCCCTCATTCTTTTTCCTTGACACAGTAACTGATTTTAGGGATTAGGAACTATTTTGTTTCTCATTCCTACATTACAAAATTTATAAACCTTGTGTTTGATGCATGTCTGTGCAATCCTGTTCTGTTCATTATTCATATCAATGTTCAAAATGAGACATTTACAAAAGAGAGGTTTGTGAATGCTATTGCAGGATTTGCTTTGAAACAGATTCTGATCTCTCAGGCCTGAAAAGGCTTGCTTCATGACTTTTTGTTGGAGTTTCAAATCTTTTCTCAGCCAAGACATAGCTCAAAGCAAAAAAAAGTAGCTGCAATCGCAACTTCCGTTTTGTGTACAAAATCACATAGTGGATGTTTGTTGGGTACTGATTAGCTGCAGACTCTCACTGATCACTAATATGGTGAATGTCAGTGTGGGTGTATTAATATGCCCTCTGCAGTTAAGTAACCATACTTCCATTCGATGTCGCGATTTATCATATCAATATCTTAAAGCACTTCACACAATGAGATATAGAGAAGTGCAGTGACGTCTGGTTATGTAGACTAATCTGTACCAGCAACATTGCACAAATGGTAATGAGTAATGTTGTGCACAAATGACATTGAAATCCAGATGAAACCACTAAAATGTATAATGTCTGACTTACGAGCTGCATTTAATAGTTATTTAAGTCTAGACTGAAACTGAGAAAGTAATTGATTGTCAAGAATTTCATAATATGGCATTAAAGCTTAGTGTAATATTTTATAACTTGATAAAGTGCTTGAAGTACAATCTCTTCCCCCAGGCTAAATCTGTTTGAAATGCTTGTAGTTGGTTCAGCTAAAGAGATGCAGTAATTGAATGCAGATTTTCTGGCTGTACAGTCTTGCACATCTGTTTACAAATAGTGCCTGCATATAAACCAAGTCAATTTTTGCTACCCAAAACCTCTTGCCGAATTGTAGCTTGTCAGAGCTATTTTACAGTATTCCACTTCAGGGGAACACAAACTATATTTGTGAAGTGTGTAGTTTAGATGTGTAAATAATGGGTTTTCTGTGTCCTGCAAGGCAACTGAATGTGTCTTGCATTTCAGCAACACCAGTACACAGGTATAAAATTGCCTTTCACAAACATTTGAATGGAATTATTGGTTCTTCTGCACAAAAAACAAATATTTTCAGTTTTTTTTAAAAACCCAATTTTTCTGGTTTCTGTGAGTTTAGAAATTGAACTGTCTAGCATGGGGCGGGAGTCCAATACCAACATTTATTTTGGTTATAGAAAACTAATGATCTTTTGGCCACAGGCAGAGTCTCGTGCTTCAACATGCTTATTCCATGGAATATAACATTTGGAACTTCATGCCTGCATTTCCTGACTCAAGTTAATAGTCCCAACAACAACATGCATTTATATAGTGCCCTTCACATGGGGTAGCCCCAAGTGTACTGTCAAGAGAAATAAGTGCTCGACATTCACAGGAGCTCAATTTGAATCTGAATGGAAGGATGAGTTAATGTTTTGGGCATGACATGTGATCAGAACTCAATTCTAATGAAGTATAATGACCAAAACGCTGATCCACCAGCTGTGCATTTCCAGCTTTTCCTATTTCCAATTATAGCATTCAAAACTTTTCATTTCATCTGTGCTTGGGTGGTGATGCCAGCACCTTCCAATTGGTAAATGGAAGGTCACAAAATCCCAAGAAAATTATTTGATCTTATACTTCCAAAATACCAATCTGACCAAATTCCCATTGAGCCACACACTTTTTGTTTGAAAAATTAGTCTCGTATCCAGGCTGTTATCATCTGTAATATCCCGCCCCAGCAGTTGGTACTTTCTAAAAGATATACCTTCCCAAACTGAATATGAGCCATCTTGTCCTGTTGCCTTGGAGACAACAACAACAACTTGCATTTATATAGCACCCCTCACTCAGGGTTGAAGAAGGTCTTCAAGTGTGATCTGAAGATTGCGCCTGAAGGAAAAAAATTGAGCACATCTGGCAAATATTTGCTGATTTCTAAAAGCAAAGAACAAATTTAAATTATCTTGTGAGCTTTTGACCAGACTAGAGTAAGTATTTGTGAGCCACCAAATTTCAGTAGGTAATCCAACTGACTACCAATAAAAATAAAAATGTGAGCTAAGTTACAGCTTCAAATGAATGTGGCATTCAAAGTTTTCCATTTTATGGGTGCTTGGGTGGTGATACCAGCACTTTCCCACTGAGGAGGATGGAAGAGGACTGGTAAATTGAGCCTTTCCAGGCTCCACTTCTTAGTCTCCCAGAGCTGGTTAAAAAGGTTATTGGATCGAGTTACAGTAACATGAGATCCATGATTGAATGGGAAGATTTCTTGAAAATGGGACAGAGGATCTTGCTTTGTGACAGATCTATAGAGGAATGGATTTATCAGATCATCCTGGGGTGTCTCTGATTCGTTCCCTCCCCTCGTTCAAGCCCGTCTGAAGACATACCTCTTTGACCGTGCTTTTGGTTACTCTTCCCTTGCACACTCCCTTCGGCTCCCATCCTGTGCTCGGGTACACAGCCAGTAGTGTTGAGCGCTTTGAGATGTCCTCCTGATTTAAAAAGTGCTATATAAATGTAAATTGTATTGTAATATTATTACAATTGCTCTTTGAGCCACCATTATGAAGGTCAAAAAAGACCTTCAATAAACTGTTCAAATGAAGCTTGCAGTGCACATAAGCAGCCTTTTAAAAATTTTAATTATCAGTAAGAATTTGTACTCGGGCATCTTCATACTGTCTAGCCAGTCACAGCAGGACTAACTTCAGCAATCATTTTTTAGTTGTGTGTGCAATGACCTGCTTATTTCTACCTCCCAAATTGGTTTGTTGTAAGAACTACATTTAGATGGTTTCTAATGATTCATGAAATTCTGTATTAATGCGGCAACATGTTTAAGTGCAATTGCTTTTCAATCACATTTTGTAGAGAAAATGGATGCATAGCCATTATTTATTTCTGAGCCTTTTTAAAAAAAATTGTTTTATTTCTTTGTAGCGGAGCTTGGAGACTGTGAAATTCATGAACACTCTCCAGAGCTGGTGTCAGAATTCAGGTTTATCCCCAATCAGACCGAGGATATAGAGATAGACATTTTTTCACGCTGGAAGGATTTCAGGTAATGCTTCAAAAAAAATGATCTAATCAATTTACAGTGTTACAAATTTCTTTTTACATGGTTATGAAATTCTTTTACAGGTCTTTTTAAAGAGAATAAAATGTAGCTCAAAATTTGCAGAGGCAAACGGCTGGAAATCTAATGTATAATAACAATAACATTGTAAAATGTACCAATATACTTTGTAACCTCACTATGTCAGATGTAAGGATTATAATACACTAGCTCACTTCCTGTGCAAGTACTTCCTTCCACCCTAGCCTTGCTTTTGGAGATAAACCTATAAGGTAAACTTAATGGTCCTTTCTGGGACACACTTCTGGAAGTAACTGGAACAGCAAACTGTTTTCTGCTGGCCTGATATGCTAACAGAAGGATGAAATGTCACAAAAGGAGCTGAATTATGAATTGGAAACAAGTATGCTTATGAGATTTACAATAGTTCAATTTCTACAGCACTGCTGATGCCTGGAATTCTGCCCCACTAAAATTACCTCTACCCTACTAAAATAATCACTAAAGTCTTATCTTTCTAAATCATATAATCGCCCAAGTGGAGGCCTGTAGCTCAGTGGTTAGAGCACTTGCTTCACAAGCGATAGACGTGGGTTAGATTCTTAGCAGGGCGAAACCTTGGGCAAGTTTTCTTACTCCACATGCCTGATAATAATCTCTCAAGAAAAAAAACAATAATAATTTGGTCACTCAGTTCACGATTGGACACTGCTGTGCGCAATTGGCTGCCACGTTTCACCCACAAATATACAGTCAATTCACTTTACAGTATATTCTGTGAAGCGGTTTGAGACGTCTAGTAGACGTGAAAAGCGCTATATCAAATGCAAGGATTATTATAAGTCATACATTCATGCGAGTCCCATTCAGTTTCTTAGAAAAAAACACTTAGATTTCTTTGTGCTACTGGTATTAATCACTTCCTAACTCATAATGCCACTCTGCTATCCTACATTATTCTCGCACTAATCAGCTGTTTTGAATTGCGGGATACATTCCTGACCCGTCGACACATGTGCACTTACCAGTCGGTTGCATTGAATTGTGGGAAACACAGTCTTGATCTGTCGACCCATGCGCAGAAGAACTTCACTTCCTGTGATTCAATGCAATTCTAATGCTTGCGGGTAAGTGCACATGAGACGACGGGTCAAACCGCATTGAATCGCGGAAAATGAAGTCTTGATCCATCACAGCGCGTGCACTTACTGGCTGCATTGAATTACGCATGCGCAGTGTAGATCATTGATTAAATCGGATTTTGTACGACTTATACACTTTGATTGTCACGTGCGGTGTTCCTCAAGGAAAACTGTTATGGCAACGGTGATTTCTTATAATAATAATAATAATCCTTGCATTTGATATAGTGCTTTTCACGTCGGGAGGACGTCCCAAAGCGCTTCACAGAACACACTGTAAAGTGAATTGACTGTATATTTGTGGGCGAACGCGGCAGCCAATTGCGCACAGCAATGTCCCACAAACAGTCGTAGATTGAAAATGACCAATTTATTATTGTTTTTGGTTTTGGAGGGATTATTATTAGGCTCTGTGTGGAGTAAGGAAACTTACCCAAGGTTTCGCCCTCTGCCTGGAATTGAACTCAGGTCTCTCGCTTGCAAAGCGAGTGCTCTAACCACTGAGCTACAGGACTCCACAAATGTAGTCTGTATGTAGTTTGTTTACACTAGGAAATGGAGTACAGGTTGAATTTATTGACCTGACTGAACAACAATAACTTGCAATTTTATAGCACCTTTCACACAGGGTAGGATCTTGGAGATCTTAACACAGTTTCACAGAGCTTGACAACCAGCCGGGGAGAGCAGAGAGGGGAAGGAGTCATGGTCGAAGAGGAAGGTCTTCAGGTGTGATCTGAAGACGGGCAAGGAGGAGGCAAGGCAGAGAGTTCCATAGTTTCAAGGCTTAGTGGCTGAAGGCACGGCAGCCGACTGTGGAGAGGAGGGGACGAGGAATGTACAGGAGACCAAAACCAGCTGAGGGAAGGCGACACATAGTGGGGTATGAGTAGGTCAGAGAGTAGGGAGGTTTCAGGGCATGAAGTGATACACAAGTGTGAGGATCTTGAACTTGATCCATTCTGCATTAGGGAGTCAGAGGAGCCTGGCAAGGACTGGGTGATGGGGTGTGGAGTTTGATGTGGGTAAGTTTATGGGCAGCAGAGTTGTGAATTAATTAGATTTTATGAATGGTGGAGCTGTGGAGCCCAGCGAGGAGGGCATTGTAATAAGCAAGGTGATGGAAGGTAACTGATATGTGGATAAGGAAAAGGTCCTGGTCAGGGACTGGTTGTGGGGTAGGAAGACAGCTGGGGATCGAACCCGACACCTAAATTCTGCATAACTTCAGTCGGTAAGAGATAGATCGGGGAGGTTACGGAGGTCGGAGTCGGTAGGTGAGGGATAGGGTGGGGAGGTTACAGAAGTTGGAGTCGGTAGGTGAGGGATAGGCTGGGGAGGTTAAGGAGGTTGGAGCCAACGATTTGGCTTCCGTCTTCTCAACATTGAGCTTCAGAAAGTTGGTGCACATCCAGGCCTTGATGTCTGACAAGCAAGAGGACAGAACATCGGTGGACCTGGGATCGTAGCTGGAGAAGTAGATTTGATTGTCATCCACAAATCCCATATTTGCGGATTACATTGCTGAGAGGGAGCATGTAAATGAGAAAAAGAAGCGGGCAAGGATGGAGACTTGCGGTACACCACCAGTGGCCCACTGAGATGGGAGGAAAAGCCTTTGAGGAAATTAAAACATCTAGCTGACGTTAAATCATTTCACATCACCTCTGCTCCAAGCAGTGTACGCGCAGAGAAGCAATCTGATTACTGAGATAAGGTGAGGTAGGAGAAAAGGCTGATTGAAATCCAATTACTTCAGAGCTGGTTTTAAACCCATCACAGACTTCATGCTGATCTTTTCAATTCAAAGCAGCTGGAAATTCAGAACAAACAAGAATTCACAGATGTGGTGTAAATTGGGTTGTAAAGTGTCAACTTGTAATGTGGGGGCTAATTGCATTTATTGTTGGTTTGTCTCAACGAATCCACAAAATACTTCTAAAACAATGGATTAGTTTTGTCCTGTGGTTTGGAAGCGACATGCTTCTGAGTGAAATAATTTCAATAGGAATAGTTTGAAATAACCTTTGCTACTGTTTTTATATTACTAGATTCTCTCTAAAAGTAAACCTGTCTCCAAGTGCATCTAGCAAAACAACAATCACTATTACTTGCACTTGTATAGATTGTTGGCTAAATAGTGAGTTTTAGGAGGTAAAAATGTGGAACCGCACTACTGGCTCTGCTAGCTCTGGATCCAACAAGACCCCATTTTAAATCAGAGATTCCAAGTGAGGATTTTTCTCTTCATTTAAATTAAAATAGTTGGATTGTATATTAACAAATGTGGCTGGGTTACCTATATATATCTTATAATATATAAACCTTTACTTTGTAGTACTCCAACTTACTGAAACCTGTTATCTCCAACATACTATGCTGATTTTCTCCATTGCTGCTTCATACAAGAAAAATTTAACCAAACTTCAGCCTCTAAATTTTGATAGAGAGCACACACTACAGTTACTGTAATGTCATCCGGCAGATTCATACTTCCAACTTGTAATCTCTATAATAAAATTCTGTTAATCTCAAAGACCTAGTTAAACAGTTGCCACTTTGATCGACACATTCATATTAAAATTATTTAAATGCTCTTTTCAAACTCTTACATTTCTGAATGTGGACATTTAAAAGGCCAATAGATGTTTGTTTTATGAAGAATATTAAAATAGTCCAGCTTCAATTGATGACGATCCTTTTAGTCGGTCTGCAAAAGGCTAATTTTTAATATTAACCTGAATTTGAAAAAGACATTATGGCTGTAACTTTAAATAGCACCAAGGCTCCATTGCTCTATTTTATGAAATGGCTGCAAAGCTAATTACAGGGAGCACCCAAATGAATGTCCCACATGCAATTTCAATGAAAATATATGGTTACAAAGTGCAGATTTGCAATATCTCCACCTGAGGATCAACTTGATTTTTCCTCACTTTAGCCTTTAAATTCGACCTAGTCTGTTCTCTTTTGTCAAAAAAGATACTTGTGGAAAATTCTTGATTAGTTTGAATTTGAAGCTTTGAATCTTAGAATCATAGAATTGTACAGCACAAAAAGAGGCCATTCGGCCTATCGAGTTTGTGCCGGCTCTTTGAATAGAGCAATTAATGTCAATCCTACTCCCCAGCCCTTTCCCCATAACCCTGCAAACCCGTCCTCTTCAAATACCCATCCACCGCGTTTTTAAAAGTAGTTATCGAATCGGCCTCGACCACCCTTTCAGGCAATGCGTTCCAGATTCGAACAACTCGCTGTGTGAAAAAATGTCTTCTCACCTCCCCTCTGCTTCTTTCAGATACTATTTTGAATCTGTGACCTCAAGTCACTGACACACCCACTATACACTTCCCTCCAGTCAGAAAAGCAGCCATTCACCACAACTCTGCTTTCTGTCTCCCAGCCAGTTCTGGATCCATGCTGCCACTGTCCCTTTTATACCATGGGCTTCTATCTTTCTTACAAGTCTTTCATGTGGCACTTTGTCAAATGCCTTTTGAAAATCCACCCTCTCCGTTACCTCATCGAAAAATTCTATTAGATTTGTTGGACAAGATTTGCCTTCAACAAATCCATGCTTAATTAACCCATATTCTTCTAAGTGAAGATTTATTCTGTCCTGGATTATAGTCTCCAGGAGTTTCCCCACTACTGATGTTAGGCTGACTGGCCTGTAGTTCCCAGGTTTGTCCTTCTGTCCCTTTTTGTACAGGGGAGTCACATTGGCCACTCTCCAGTCCTCTGGCACCACTCCTGCGTCCAACGAGGATTGAAAAATTGTAGCCAAAGCCTCCACTATTTGTACCCATGCCTCCCATAGTAACTTTGGTTGCATCCCTGGGC